AATCTGACCGATTCTTTGATAAATGAAAATGTAAACAAATTAATAGTATCAGCAAATCAAGATATTCACCTCCAATATAATAAAGCAATGAGTTCTAGTATGAAAACAAGTAATATAGTATCTTTTTCAGTTTTTTCAGGACTTCTTGGAATTGCGTTGATATCTCTCTCAACTCAATCAAATTTCCTTATTCAATTGACCTATTTAATAGTTGTTTTGACTACAATTTTACTAATTGTGTTTCTACAATGTCAGAATCTTGTATACCGGTTACCAGTAACGACTCAATCTGTGCTACCTGTAAAAAGACACAGAAAATCATAAAGCAAACTATTCAGAATAATTCAGTTTCTTTGGACTTTACACTAATTGACATTGATAGATTACGTTTATCTGTTAACAACGCTTACTCTGCTTTTGTTGATTTTGAAAATAAGTTAAAAAAAGCTATTGAGGCGAGAAAACAACGGATTCTAATCAAGGCATACTCTGAAAACTCACATTCTGAAAACTATAATGTCAAACCTAACGTTAATCTTTTCTACATGAAGAAAATTTCTGGGATGCAGGCATCGCTCAAAGTTTTCAATAAAAATTTCAGTCTTTGGAAAACTGATTTTTTGATGCTTTACAAAAAACTGCAAGATGAAATAAATACATATGATGTGCTTTCAACAGATGTCGATAATATTGAGATGGAATTGGACAGTCATCAAGACCCAATGTTGTACAATGTAATCCAACAAGCAACCGATAAATTAAAGTATACAAATCGTTTACATAGATATGTCAGGCGATTGAGAGCATCTTTTACTCACATTAAGAGACTAGTAACAGATTTTAACAATATTTTGTCTGAAATAAGCACCGGAACGATTTATCGAGAAAGAAATGACAAAAATATAATAATTGACTTCAAACAGATTCTTGTAAATTTGAATAGCTTAGCAGATATAAAAGACAATGATCCACTAGAACAATTGCAGACTGCGTTTTCTCAAGCTTTTAATAGAACACCTGTAAATATCAAGTTAACAAACTCGGAAAAATTGGTCAGAGTTAAACAACCAAATCTTTTGATTGAAGAATTACAACACAATGAACAAGAAATATCTACGAAATCAGGTACTTCATCAAAAAGTAATACTAATTTGACCGATTTTCCGAAAACTGGCATGAAAAGAAAAAATTTTGAACAGTTGAATATTGACATTGAAAAAAGACCAGTATTCAGGTTTTCTGAAGAAAATCGTGGAAACTTGTCAGAGATACAAAAACAGAAACAATTTCAGCCGTTTGCACAAACTGATTCAGCAATTAGTTTTAACAATCAATCAAATAATGATTCCCCACAAGTCGATCAAGTTAATAATGTACATGTTGTATCAAACATAACTCAACATGATGCACCTGAACATGGCTTGACTACGATCATTGAAAATGTTACGATAGATGAACATTTTGGTAATGCTGATAATGGCAGTGAAAATATGTATGTTGACAAACAGCCAAAGCCAAGAGTCGCTAGAGAATCTGAAAGTGGAAAAACTGTTTCCGAACAAGTTGAGAAATCACAGCAGAGAACAGCTATCGATCTGGATGCTTCTGAAAACTTCTCGATGTTACTTGATGATACTTTAATCCAGACCAATGGACTAGATTCAATCAATTCAATCATAAATGATTTCGATTTAAACGATGAAAGTGACTTTCAAATTGAGGCGGACGTATTGAGACCTATTTACGTGAGAAAGAAAACTTCATCGCTGGAAGAACACGAAATTGAAAGGTTTACCAAGAGCCTTGAGCTACCAAAGTTTATCAAAGAAATACCTACAGAGTACTTTGATAATAGATTGATTCTTGTGAAAATGCCTGTCTTAAAAAAATTTGTAACTAGCTGTATTGAAAAAATACCAAATGAACATCGAGCTGATTGGGAAGCACGGTACAAGAAAAGATACAATAGGTGCGTTATTTTTGATGAGTATTATGAGAACATACAGGTTTTGTTTCTTGATAACGGCATCGAAACTATCAATGGACTCAGATCCACAATAAAATTTTATACTGAAAAAATTCCGATGTATATTGCGAGAACTTCCCTTGATGAAAACAGAATAGAGAAGTTAAAGCAAAGATTGACTGATTTTGAAGAGAACCAGAGCTCATCTACAAGTATAAACAATGAAACTATTGATCGTTGATTCTGTTCAGTCATCATCAAATAGCATAAAAATCAAGCTAGATGAATCTTTACAAAGTTTGCAAAAAATTGATGCTCAAGTGGGATGTGTTACATTGCTACCAAATTCATGTATAATTGTTGACAGAGAACAAAACTCTGATGCATGTAGTTTAGCTATTGACAATATTGTTGAAATGATTGTTTATCTTACGAAGTTACCCTTGTATTCAGAGTCAATAAGAGAGTGTGGAGTACAGGTAATATTTTACAATCAGATGACAAGAGATTTATACACTGAAGTAAAATTTCATAATTTATTGTTAGAAAAAATTCCAAATGTTACATTGTTCTGTCAGAATTGACATTTATTGGCACTCACATTTTAACATGAAGCAGGTTTCACACAAATCAGGAATCTCATCTATATAGAGTGTTCTCAAAGATGTACAAATACGAAACGTTTTCGAAGGTTTAGTGAATATTTTATCATTTTTAAATTTTTTTTCACTAGGCTTTTCCATTTCAGATTCCGATATAAACCGATCAGTTGGCAAAAAATAACCATTATTATCGTTATTGTCAGTGATCACGTTTGCATCGTTAACGTTCTCCATTTAAAAGTAAAATATACGCAAAAATGAACAAAAGGTTCAACAACAAACGTAAATCTGAAAACCAATGTAATTCAGTGAATGCTGCAACAAAAAAACAGTATATTGATTATAATGGTTTTCTTTCTAAACAAACCGGTTACCTCTCCTTGGAAATGTTTGTTCAAATTTATGTTTTTCTTCTGAAACAAACCAAGTATACCAAGCGACCATTCAAAATTGATTGTGGTAAAATTGATAATTTTGACGATCTACTCTCAACCGATGTTGATTGTGTAAACAGAGTTTGCACTGATGAATGGAAGAAAACTCTTCAACATCAAATTGCTCCACCAAGTAAAACATCAACAAGCAACGAAGGCTGGCTCGATTGGAATAATTATGATGAGGATCTGAACAATAACATGGAAATTGCAATGAATGTTTTTCGTAAGCTGATTTTTGCAATTCAAGCGTACAATTCTTGTCCAACCGCTAAACTTAAAGTGGAACTATTGTTTCCCTTAGAAGCTCTTAAATTCTTTCTCTCCAACCATCAGATGATGATTGATAGCTGTGACTTCAATTACCACTCAAACCACCAAACATCTGGAACTGGCAGTCAAAGTAGAACTAACAAATCCAACAGTAAAAGTAATGAAAAAAAGAGCAAAGTGCAGCCAATAACCAGCGGTTCAATCTTATTGAAATATTATCAGACTCCTATTAAGTTTTCTTCATTGCTTGCTAAATCTACGCAAGCAGACATAGAAGCAGTTAAATTGTTAGTTGAAAATAAAATTTACTTTGCCAATGACCTGCCGCTGGAATCATCTGAAAAAATATCGAACTACCTTCCAGAATATGTTCATTTCAGCAATCATCCTAAGTTTGCACCAGAAAAGCATGTTTGTGTGGAAGCTGATGATAACCTACAACGAACATGGGTTGTAATGACAAGAAATCATGTTGTGACTTACAATGAGGAAACAAAGTCATGTTCTATTCCAACAAATGACCACCAAACAAACGTAGTAGACAAGTTGAGCCTACGGTTGAGTGAAGAAAATTACGAAAAGTTATTTCGTAAATATAAATTCGTTATTTTTGATATGCTGCTGACTGGGGAAAGAGAGAATTGTTTAGGAATATTTGATTTCTATGCAATCACAACCAACTGCAATAACACATTAACCAACAAAAAACCAGCTTTGACAGCAACTAACACTGGTGATACTGATACTATGCAAAACCTGATAAAGAAACGTTCTCATGTTGAAAAAATGGAATTTGTGAAAAGACTTTTTCCTGAAAATTGTATGTACTATTCCCTCAACTCTAACACCAAAATATTTGTGAACGAACTAGTAGATAAAAATCCTAATGAGCACGTTAAGACAAAATACATTTATAAAGAGAAAAATTACATTTGTCATAAAACACATGTATACGATGAAAGTCCTCTCATAGGTGCAATTGTAGGAATAAGTAATTTATCTTTGTTGGTTGCATTCCGTAAACCTCACATACATGCGACGGATAAAGCTGAGAAAAAAGTAATCGAAAGTGAAGATATCAATGATATCGACGAATTGGTTGTGAAAGCTAAAGTGAACATACCAAACGCTGAAATTTTCTACCAAACTACTACATGTTTCATGAAAAACAGTTTACTCCAAAAAGAGAACAACAACGTTTCAAACTATGATGTTAGTGATTATGATGATGATGACGATGGATTTAAAGAAACAAAAAAACCAACAATAGCCTGCGATGCTAAAGACGAAGCAAACGATACGATATTGGTACATGGTAAAATTTATAAACTAGCGAGAAATCAAATTCATGGGAAAATTGCTAAAACAGTTTTTTTCAAAGCTGGATTTTTAGTAACTTTATCATTGGACGATAATCATTTTCAAATTAAAGGACCGATCAATGATATCAAGCAACCAAAAATATCATTGAGTAATGATAAACGTTTCAACAAGACCTCAAAGTCTGATTTATCAGCTTACACTAGTGGCACTGGTTCCAATAAAAATAAGGATAAAAAACAACCTCTGGAAATCATTTCGAATATGTTCGCTGAAAGCAACGAAAAACAATTACAAGAACTTTTACTACACGTGCTTGATCTGGCAAAAAAAAACTCTGCTTTCCCAACTTGTAAAAATGCGATCAACGAAAAAGTGAACGAAGATATTCTAATGTGAAACAAGTCAATAGTCACAATCAGTCAATAATGGAATAGTAGAGTTTGATGGTAACAGTTTTTGTACACCAATAGTTACAAAATTGAATAGCCAAGAATAGATAATGCTCTCATCTAACTTGTAATAGCTACAACCCTCTATCATTACAATGTTTTCTTTCAATAAACTAAAATATTCTTGAATGTTTATGCTTCTAAATGCTTCTGTGACTTGTTTATCGGTACAATTTTTATACAATAAATCAACAACCAGAGATGCTCGTTTGTCTGCACTTTCTATTCCTAAAAGCTTTATGTAAGGAGACTGGTGTTTATAATTCGCAAATATTAGATTCAAAATTTTGCTTGTCTCTTTGTCTCGCTGCCAAACGTCAATAAGTCTAGAACGTACAACAAAATCAAAAGCCAATGCCATGTATGAAAGTTTCAAGTTGTTCGAACAATAACCTTCTATCGGAAAAGATCGAACTAGTAAAATGTTTAACAAAAGAAGTAAGTTAATCCAGCGTAAAGTTGTATCATATATTCTGTTGGATTTATTGCAAAGGGTGTCAGTCATGCGAGCAAGAACGTATTGCGCTCGATTGTAATCTGTATCGTTGCAGTTTCGTTTTGTTGTAGTGATTTCATCTGGAGATCTGAGTAATGAGTAAAATTGCCCAGTGTGATAAAAGTTTATGAGAAGATTTGTATTTGGATGAGTTTCATAGACACGAACAGGATCAAACGTTATCGTTTCGATTGTTTTAGTGAATTTTTCATCGAACATGAGTGCTTTCATGTATTCATTGATTGTTTTGAAAATTCCACTTTTTCTCCAGATGTTTAATGTATCATTATCATCAATGTATTTTACTATCAAATCTAAGTTTTTCTCTGCAAATGAGAACAAAAAGTCTTGTGGACAGTGTTCATTTTCTAGCATTAAACCAACCATTTCAGTCAGTGTATCAAAGTGTACAGCACGAACATTGTCAACTGTTCTATCATTATTAGGGCCAGGATTGGTTGAGATATGGAAAAATGGCATTGAAATTAAAACATGATCTTCAGGTATACAATTGATGGAAACAAAATTTGTCTCTACATTTGATGAAAAGTCAGAAAAAATCATTCTTTTCAATTATTTTTTTATTCATATAACAAAGTTAAATTGTGTATTGGACCAACCACAAGGGTGAAGAAATCATCAAATGCTACTATTTGCTTATTACTATGTACGGCTATTTCGTGAAATCCAAGTTGCGTTATTTTTTCAATGATAAATTCAAGAAGCGTGGAATTTTCTGTGTCAATGAATGTATACGAGAATTTATTGTTGTTTATGTTGGTTTTTGGCTCAAACAATTTACTGACTGACATACTATATTTAGTGAATATGTTTAAAATTAATTCAGAATGAGTATCAATGAAACAACCTCGTTTACTTGATAGTAGGATAAAATCATCAGGCATTATGATTTCAATATCAGCATTGGTACCAGAATCAATAGCCATTTTATGATGAACAGTATTGTTAGCGTCTGACACTATGTTTGCATAGTTATACCTTTCATCAAAGGGTAACAGTTTACGATACACAGAACACCAATTTGAGATTGGGTTGTTATCATATGCTTGCATAACCGGTTGCTGGTGATAAATTGCAAACCTATTGTCTGCTGAAAATGGCAAAATTGTTTGTATTGTAGACGGTGTAGCAAATTTTTCGTCTATTCTGATCAGATCGAATTCTGTTAATGAGGATGTTGAATATATATATAAACCTCGTTCACAGTCATTCTTGACACATGTACACTGATCTGCTAAAAAGTTTATCAACCTTGGAATACCAACAATATGAATTTCAATTTTGTGTTCTTGTTGATCATTTTGTTTTAGTATTGTAAATTTTTCATAAACTGTTTTAGTTACTGACTTTCTCGGGTAACAGTATAAATTTGACCTTTGTTTCCTTGGAATTGGATGAAAATAATACATTTTTGTTGCAGATGGAAACTTGTAAGAGAATTAAATTGGACAATGCTGAAAACGGCTATTCTAACGAGTGTAAACAAGGTAAGAATGTGGACAATAATGAAGCAACCTACAGATTTCTCGCTGCAGTGAACGTAGGTAACGGTTCTAAAGGCTTTCACAAGTACTCATCCATGAATGAAAAAGAATCCAAGACAATTGTATCATCGTGTTACTCGCTAGTTCAAGAAACCTCTCTCAAACCAGTTACCCATTATGAACATGGTAAAAGTATTGAGGAACTAGATGAACTGTTGATTAGGCGAAATTTTTCAGTTACACCGGTAATTGCTATTGACGGGATGACTGGAGTTGGTAAATCGTCATTGATTGAAAAGTTGAGAAGAACTCGCTATCCGATGAAATTGAATCAAAAATATTTCCCGCTGCTGGAAGCCACACAGTTTAACGTTACGCGTAACTTTGAACCATATCATTCTTTTTTCTATTATGACTTCATGCAGAAAGTAACACAAAGGTGCATCGAGAAGAAATTTCCCATTGTCTGGGATAGATATTGTCTATCAAATTACGCTTGGTATGCAATTAATCATTTATTGGTAGAATTTAAGAACCAGATAATACCAATTGAGTATACCGATGCTGTTTCATCTTGCTTACATCAATGGTTTTACAATGCTGATTTTGACTGTGTAGTTGAAGAATTTAAATCGAATGAAGCATTTATTGAAGTCATCTACATCGTCGATTCATCTGTGGCCAATGTTGGCAAACGTTTACTTGCACGGAACAATTCCTCTGATCTAGCCAATATTTCTAATGTCAACTTTTTAACAGCTCAATTACACGTATATAGATACATTGCTGGTAAAACAAACTCCATTCTGATTGATTATGCCGATTTCATTGAATCAAGTTCAGATGAATTGGATTCTCTTTTTTTGGAGAAAATGCAATCAAGCATTGCCAACCATCTACACTACAAAGCAAGTGATTTGAACGGTTTAACTACTCTGAAACCAGGAGACAATGTGCTAGAATGTTTGAGCTCGCCTGCTTTGAATGAATCTATATCTGCGTTCACTCAGCTTTGTGGAATGTTAACCTTCTCACAAAATGAGCTTGCTTTCAAAAACAGTAAAAAATGATTTTTCTATTTCAACTCTCCAGACTTAGATTTGATGGCACTTTTCAAAACTTTATCTTGCACACAGTTATGTTTATTATATTTTCTCAAATGTAAAAAAATATCTGATATTAAATATGAAAACGATGATCATTTACTGTTAACTGATGGCTACATGCATGCATCGTTTGGAAAAGCAATTAAACTATCAAACGCTCAATTTGTCTTGGATGTACAGTTGAAATTTTTGCCATCAATAGCTGGTATTTCATCCTATGAATTTGGTTTAAATATTTGCATTTTTTATTTGCCTGATTTTGTTTACCGCAATAATTTTTTTCTCTTTAAATACAAATTCAGTCATTTTGAGTGCTATGGCAGATTGTATACAGTGATTTCCGATGCTTCCAAAAACAATCAAATGAAGGATATTTACTTCAATCCTGAATATGGATATGAAGCAAACTTTTCAGAAAGAACCGTTTTCAATGGAAAAGGCTATTTGACCTCGGAAAGACTTTATTTTTGGTTTATTGAGTCCAAACAAATAACACCGAAAGAATTTGTATCTAAAATGAAATATCTACAGTCATACGTCGTTGTTTTCTTTTATTTCATATTTTCAAATAAACTGTCATTTTGAAAGTTTGTATCTTTTGGGTTGATTTCGCGTGAACCGAAACCTTTGAGAAGAACGTATTTTCCTATCAAAGTTAAAGAGATTACCATAAAAAGAATGCTTAATACGTAGACAAACCATTTTTTAGGTGAAATAATTTCAGTCAACTTATCAACCCCGTCCAATATGTTGATCCCTGTTTCTTGTAGAATATCGGCAACTGCATCAATCAAGGTTGGGTTTTCAATACATTTAACGGTTACATTAATAGGTAAAAGAGAAATGGGTAGATTGCTAGTTGCCAAGCGGGAACTATCTAGCGTATCACATAATCTACATGATGGAATATTTCCATTATCAAACGGCTCTGCAGAATAGGAACATATTGAATCATCGATAGGTAATTCTACATCAGATAAAATTTCTTCAAGCGTAGAATACTTTTGAACATTTGATTGAATAGAAGTTTTAATTATCTTCAACAAGTGATCCTTATTATTTGTATTTTCATTCTGCAGTGCAGCACTGAAATGCTTCGTAATTTCGTTTATTTTTGCATCTAAAATATCTTGATGTTCAAAAATGTACAATAATTTCAACGGTAAATTGTGAAACTTTGATATTGTATCGTTGACAAACTTCAATTCGTTTACAGAGAACTGATCACCACTCATTGAATTCTCATTGTTGTTTTGCAAGTTTGCGTTTTTTGTACAGGAAAAACACTGTAGTTTTATTTTTTTTATATTTTTTGGATTGTCAGGAGAGCTGAAATACATCCAGTACCCTTGCAAGCCATCTCTACGGGAGAGTAAATATTGACTTGTTATTGCTATACCAGCAGCACCTGCCATGAAACCAATTAATCTGGATGCTTTCATTATTTTAATACCACGCACAGACGCATTTTTTTCTATTAACAATGCAAGAGTGTTTTCATCAAACTTTTCCAATGATGCTGCGTGAGCGATTTTTATTGTTGATACATCACGATCAAATCTAGCCACATACTTTTGTGGAGTCGGACCAATAAATCTATTGTAAGCTTTGATTCTATCGTAGTTAACATATGTGGACAGAAATGCAGTATCATTATGAGTCGCTTGCTGTAAGGCTTCTAAAACGTTACCAGACTGTAATTGATGAAACCAATTTGGCAGACTCGTCTCACCAATATGTATTTTTTCGAGTCCATGTAAATTAGTTTTTAAATAAGCATGTTTAGATAGCGATTTAAACATTGAACTCATGGCTGGGTCACTTATTCTAACTGCTGTGTCTTCTAAAAGTTTAGTTAAACTCTTTGAATCTTCAACCGCGTTTATCCCAATTTTCAGTTCATTGAAAACTTCTAAAAGGTTATTCAATTTAACCATTTTGTCCACCAACGATCACCTATTCTAAAAGTAATACTTCTAATTATAATCATAATTATAATTAATATAGTTATAAACTGATACATTCAGATTTCTGCTTGAATTCACATTTACAACAGTTTGCTGTGTGAGTCAGTGTTTTTCTGATGATGTAGGTTTTCCAAATAATCGATTTGCCAATAAATCTACACTCGATGAATTTATATATATAATATATATTATATATTATATATTATTAATATATTATTATATATATGTATTATATACAACATAAATAAAGTTAGTAGAGAATTAATAGTTATCTTTTTTCTCCACAAATGCACCAATGATTCATGCATTTTTTCTTAAAAACAATAAAACCCAATGAGTTGTTTTTGGTTATTTTTTAATCATGATACTTCTTTGCTTTAATTATCGAATTCGATAAAAAAATTATAACGCAATGATACATTTCGACATTTGATAGCCTAATACAATAATTGTTTTTAGATATTATTGTCATCAAAACTCTCTGACTATCTATTTAAATACAGTGTCTTGATAGTAGTACATTTTGTTTTCCAGAAATCGACCAATAGACCAAACATCTGACTTGTTTGAAGAAATTTGAATATCTAAACCAGTTATAACTCCCATACACTTATGAGTATTTTTAGGGTCCGCATAGTTTTGATCTATGCCTTCACGATCTCCAATATCCAGCATTTTCAGTTGCAGCTGTTTTCTATGGATCACAGATACATGCATTTTATCCGGCGCAAACATGTTAGCTAAAATCTTTATAATTGGTCCAAATTCAAACAAGTTGTTCATAGCTGTATTATTTTTTACTTGAGACTTGATAACACCAGTTAAAATTGGGGATCGGAATTTCATAACCCATCCTTCTGTTTGTGGTTTATCTTTTTGTTTGAAAGTATACGTATCAATGGCTGCAGCTTCAGAGATTGCAAAAATGTAGGGTTTCAATGATTTGGCCAAAAATTCAGTTCCAATATCAAATACTTTAGCATACCTAGTGTAAAACATTTTACCCTTAAGAGCTTCCAGACTAGGATTTTCATCGATAACCTTTC